AACAACTCGGCCGCGGACTGCCAAGCCACTGTGGCATCGATTACGACCACCCCAACGGTGGTCACGAGTGCTGCTAATTGTAGTACGCACGTGGTCGCGTGGCCACTACGAGCTATAAATAATTCGCAATTTGTGCTTCTATCACCTTTAGCTGCTACTATCTCGAGCGAGAATCCAAAACGTCGGGTTCCAGTGACCGCTTCCCCTCCTTCTGGGCTAATCCCTGCTCGCTTCTATCAGCAACAACAAATCGGGCCTCAAGTGGTCCAATTCTCCAGTCAAAAGGGTTTCCACGGTGCGAACGTTAGTTGCAATTGCCTTGCTGAGCCCCAACTCATGGTTGGAGGTCAGAGTGGAGCACCATATTGCACAATTCGGTTTACCTCCTACTTTTGTTAATCAATCCTCTTTTATGCTCTTTAAGATAACTTCTGTAATCGAGGGATCCACCTGATATCTCCGCATACTGTAAGAAGACTACGAGCTGATTTGACAAATAAAGTGACGCACGATTACAAATGGTTTCCGCTACGATCTGAATAAAAACGGCCTGTAACTGACCTCACATAACAATCACGCAAACAGACTGCTAGCGTGGGCCCGAAATAACTTATGCATTGTACAGTCAGTAAGTACTAAAAATACTTGACGGGGAGCCATTACTAGCACTCTTCTGCTCTGTCAAGCAGTTTATACTGCGAAGTCCTTGGAATGTCCTGGTAACTGACGCAAGCCCCCCGAGTGCGACTTCAAGTACTGTCGACCAAGATGAAGTCATAAACCGAAGATACGTTTACTCGAACAACAGAGTCAAGCCGCTAATGACCGTAACGGTGGACGGTAATAGTACCTGAAAACTGCCTTTGTCCGGAGGTCACCTGACCACACACGGCGACCTTCCGACCACAACCGCACGTTATGCAAAGTCGCAGACAGGCGCGCATGTCCCAGCGGACAGCCGTAAAGAAGAGTCATTAACGTGTGAATCAAATCGTCGCACGTGATAACGTCCCCCCCCCTCCATACACATCCTAGAATAGGCGCAGCAGCGGTGACTTGCGCGTTAGTTGACTTGATGCAGAGTTGCGCTCTCACTTCTCACCCAAGAAGATATACAGTACGGCTCCGAATTCGTGCAACATGCCGACCTTTGCAAAAGATTGATACCCATTCGCTAATCGGAGTTGACTAAGGTTGTAATACTGATTATCATGTAGCCTATGCTCAAGTCATCCCAGTCACGATAGGCTGTCGGCTTTTTGACGAGCCGCTTTCTGACCGCTAACAAAAAGCATGTACTGTAAGAAATGACTACTTAAGTAGTATGCATTTTTATCCTTCATTTTGACTGCCTTTATAAATTCAAATATGTTTTATGGAAAATATGCACGAAAAAACCTTTTTTGTATCTAAATTGCTGAATAATTTTGAAACCTACCAACTGCTACACCTGAAGTCAAGGTTTACAAACTGCGCGCTGTGCACATCCTGTTTAAGGAACAGTACTTTTTGCCTACGGTTTGAGGAAGGAGTCACATAGTTCTCATAAAATTTTGCAGTAGATGTGGACCATGCTGTATGCATTATAGGCGGCATTAGTAAATGGAGGAATACAATATATTATGAATGAAAACCTGACAATCGCAAAAAATCTCAGAATTAGAAATATTCTAAAATCGAAAGATACCGTTTCTTTAAATAAAAATTTTAAAGAAGGCGTAATTTGCTACCAAACCAGTACAAGAGCGATGTTTTTTTCGCGCATATTTTCCATAAAATATATTCGAATGCATAAGGCAGTCGAAATGAATGATAAAAATGCATACTACTTAAGTTGCTATTTTTCTACAGTACATATTTTTTGTTAGCGGTCGGAAAGAGACTCGCTAAAAAGCCGACGCCTTATCGTGACTGGAATGACTTGAGAATAGGGTACATGATAAGCAGTATTACAACCTCACTCAACGCCGAGTAGCGAATGAGTATCAATCTTTCGTAAAGGTTGGTATGTTGCACGAATTCAGAACCGTACCGTAACTACACCCGGAGGTGGACGCAGGTACAGTGGCTGATACAACTATACATCCCGTCTACGCGCGCCACACGCACACTACCTGGTTTTTATTACTCCTCCCAGGCGGCTCGAATCCCATATGAGAGGTCAGTACGGGCCAATTCTCAGTCCTCCAGAATGCACACCACAAGGACTGAGGGTAGGGATTCATCGTAGGGCCGCCCAATAGAAAAAAGCCTCCCAGCCCAAGTCTTTCACGGAATCCGAGGGTAAAGGTTAAATGCTTGATTATTACGTAGCTAATGCGCGTTGACTGCGCAATAAGTGCACAGTAGGAAATAAATTAAAGGTGCTTGCAATTGTTCTACGTAACTAAACACGTAGGTAAAATAGTTGCGGAAAGAAAAAAAAGTCCAAGAAGACTATAAGAGCAGCTCCTTCTGGAAGGAAGCAAAAGATGTCCATAGACCAAGAAAACTACATACAAGAGCAACTATTAGGCGGCCCCACAATGAACCTCTGCCAGACGTAGACCTACTGTCAGTTGACAGCCGTCAGAACCACGAACTTTAGTGCATCCTGACAGATTTGAATGCGTCAAGTTATTATTAGTGAGGAATGCGCTGATTTATCGTGGGGATGGAGTCCCCGTTTTTAGACCTCGCTCGCTCCTTCCTCCAGCCGACACGTCTTAGACAGCTGATGATGAGGTGACTACAATGAATACTAACAAGAGACGAGGATGACTATTTCGTGGCTTATGAGTCGACATGCGCAAAGTTCAGGGTTTGGTCGGTTGATGAAAGGAACTCAACCAGAAATGGACCTCCGCGACCATCTACCGGGCTCATAAGGGAGAGACACAAGATACAACTTAGCGAACAGGCCCCCTATTGCTTGCAGACCCACGATGAGTTACAGTTCCGATTGGGAGTCTTTGAGCTTGCTGGTCTTTCCGTTGAGACACAGCCAAGAATAAAGGTGTGACCTGTAGTCTTTTTCCCCGGTCTCGTCGAGCGTCTCCGGTCGCTCAGAGGCGGAGCA